AGTGGGAGAACTTGCACAATTGGTGGCTGACTAAATACTTTTTTGCCCCACTGTAGATGCTCAGAAGAGGGCCTTCTCTGTGGTAGTCCCTCAGCTCTGGAACACCCTTCGTGGCCAGACACATATGGCACCTTCCATATTGTCTTTTTGGTAATAGGTGAAGGCCTCTTTCCTAACTGTTTAACTCTAGGCTGCAATGTAGCCACTGAATTAATCTTAGTTCTGCTGTTTAATTTTTGCTTTTTACTGGTTGATTTAACTGACTGTTTTAAGTGTCTGAGCTTTCTTAACATTTGTTTTATGCTGCTGTTCACAGTTTAAATCTTCTCAATACTGTTTGTAAAAAATGGCTTTCTGATACTGGGAAAATTGTTTCAGGAGATGTATCTGTTGAAAGGCGGCAGAGAAAATCATAAAGAAAAAAAGGGAACACAAAGGGGATGAAAAAAATGAAGAGGAAAACATGCAAATGCAGGCCTTAATCCTTCAAGATATGCAGTAGTTATTATAACAATGGACTAAATGTAACAGTCCCAGAAGAAATGTCAAGCAGCTGCCTCTTATTGCTCCTTCTGTTTTAGCAGAAAGATGACCGAGGGGGAGGAGATGCCAAATACAGCTGGTCCTTTAAGAAAACTGATGGACTCCCATCAAGAGAGCAGAGTGACTCTAAGGGGACTTAGAGGCCCTGATAGTTTGTTCATTTTAAATGGAAGAGAGCACAAATCTCCAATTAAGCAGATGCTTACTGTACCTGAATATCCATTGCTGACGCCAGTGTTTTTTTCACACTCCTGGACACAGAAAAATCACCTTGCTGAATAGTTCTGTGTACAATATCGTTGTCGTTTACCACAGCTGCCAGTTCAATGGGCAATCCCATTTTCTGTGCAATACACCCAGCTGGACAAAAACTGCAATTTCAGTATTTTTGCACAACAGAGCTGAATCAATACATCTTTACTACAGGTCTGTATTCTAAGCGAGAAACTTAAAAGCCATCTGCTTCCAGGAATTCTAAGGCAGAATCCTTAGGTTGTGAAGATCCTCTTTCTCACTAAGGTGCATCTCTGAATTTCTTATTCTAAACAGCAGGAAAACAGACACTGAGTGTGTTCAGCACTGGAGCCGTTTGTCTTGCCCTCAAGAAGGCTTAGCAGGAGTGTCTGATCAGAAGGCAACATGTTTGATTTGCTCTAGTGAGGGCTGTAAAAGGATGGAAGTATGCTTAGGGCCGCTGGGTGCTGCCCAGAAAGCTGTGAAATAACAAAGGAAAGTTGCAGAAAGCCCCAGAGAGTCCCAGTATCTGTTTTATTTTTTAATATGGGATTTAAATCCTCTCTTGGAAAAAAAATTAATAAGCTTGAAAGTCTGCAGACAACACCCACTTAAATTTCACCATCCCAAAACACTGCTGAATAAAGCTTTTAGCAGACAGGTGATGGGTCTTTGTGCCCTGGATGTTTTTTGCAGATTGTTAGTAGAATTATGCATCATTCAGCTTCCCCAATTCCAGCATCTGACCCTCATCTATGACAGCTGGTAACACAACTAAATTATTGAGCTTGGGAGAGCTGTGAAGAACTGGCAAGTATTTTCAGTTTAAAAAATCTGATTTTTTTTTTTTTTAAAGTTAAATACAACTCTTCCTATCTTCACTGATACAACTTTCAGCAAACCGACTAAAGCTTCAAAGGCCTTAAGGTTAATCCGCATTAACAAAACCACCTGTCAACTCCAGTTAGCACAGCCAATGATAAGAGGTAACGGGAGTTTAAATCCAATGCATCTGAGCTGGACAAACTCATTGAAAGCCAACAAAGTATACTGATAAATTTCACTGACCGGTGAGATTTCCTGCTCCCCCAGTTGGAACAACAATTTCCACAGTTGGCAGCGGAACAGCCTCCACGGTTGGTGCACATTGGAAATAAGCATAGAAATAATGAGCGATCTGCACCAGAACCCTACACCAATTAATTGAATTCAAACTTATGAGATTGTGTTTTCTTGAAAAATCTTCATCAGCAAACAATTCTTTGATGGGTTCATCGATTTCATCACTATTTCCTTCCGCTGGAGAGCAAGGAAAAGCAAGAAAAGCAAGAGCTAATTCTCTCCATCTAGATATGCATTTCACATAAGTCTCAAGCAAAGCCCAGCCCTCCTCTGCTGCCCAGCACCATGACAACATAAAACAGGAACCTTCTCTCTGCTGTGCCTAATTCCAGAAAAAGGGAATGCAGGAAAAGTATACTGAAGTGGAAGCCTGTCATCCAAATAACTATGTAAAATGCTGCTCTTATATTCATGGTTCCTTGGGCCTGTCTCCAGAGTTTGTTAGACAACAACACTGCAGTGACGATCACAGCCAGGACTTGTGCCATTCCTGTTGCTTCTAGACTTAACAAACGGCTTGCAACCCAACATCTACTTGGCTTCCCTGGTCCACTGTGTCCAGTCCTATACTTCTCTATGGTCTCTCCATTTCTTTCTTCCAACAATATATTCTCTCTTTGTCAAATGCTCATATTCTTTAACCTTTTCCCTCTCCAGCTACATATTGCCCTGCCACCTATTGTTTCTTTAGGTCCTAGTTTTTCAGCCCACCACCTGTTCTTTTTTTTTTTTTTAACCTTTCTCTTGGAAGGACCTTTTGATCTGTCCTTCTTGTGTTCTTGTTTCCCTTGTCCAAAGCACACAGACACTTCTAAAATATTCTAAGGTTTTTTTCAGAGTCCCACTTTTATCCCTTCCAGAGTTTCTTTCCCCAAGCTGTTTGGCCTCTGCTTCCCTTCTTCAGCAATTATTCCCAGGTGCTAAGGTTTTATTTCTAACTAAAGTAATATTTTCACTGATCTTCTAGGACTATGAACACGCAGACATCTTTGGAAAGCATTCATTCTTATGAGATGGAAAGATTTTCAATTTATATCCTCCCTCTACAAAAATATGATTTAATCTGGGAAGCGGGTATTTGCTCATGTTCCCTCAAATCAGAAATATAGATGATCTAACTCTCTTGAACCTCTCCAACTCCCCTCCCTAATTAGACTTCATATTGCGCAAAATGAAAATACCAAAATGATATTTAGAAATTGAGATCATTAAAAAAAATTCTCAATCTGGCTGTAGGCCAGAAAACTCTGCCTACAAAGTTCAAAATGCAAGATAAGGATCTATTCTGTAGTTTGCCTGGCATTGCAATTTATACTGACACAAACCAAGTATTCTAAAATAGAACAGCTATCAAATTACTCACTAAGAAATACATGGACATTTTTCTCAATCACTGTTGTCATCTGTCGTTCTTGCACTTGGCTGCAAAGGCCGTATGGTAGCAGAACAAATATATCTACATTCTTTTCACCCCGGACACTTTCAATAGCTGAGCTGCCGGTATCTCCTGAAGTCCCTGTTCCAAAATAGTTGAAGACAATTTATACATGTTGAAACCCTGAAAGAGCAGAACTACTGTAAGATGGTAATCTTTAGGTCAGTAGCTGTCAAAACTTAAACTTCATCAAATATTTAAACATCCATGGGTCCATTTTTAGATCTGTGGACAAAGCTGTTTTGAGACTCTTAAGAATGTGAAGTTCAAATAATAAAAAAAAGCAATACAGCAGAATAATGAACAAAGCTTTAGGTTAAATAAAATAGAGCTGCCTGTCTGTTTAATCCCTTCCTACTCTACTAAAGTGATATGAGATATAGTCCACGTTAGCTATTTTTCCCTACTCGTTAAAAAAAACTTTTGATTTTAAAAATAGTACAGCCTATGGCAGCTAGCATTCCTCCAGGCGCAATTCCCTCCCCACTATGACTCACAGGAGTTAAAATCCTCATGTTGAGAAAGCATGGCAAGGATTATTTCTCTCTCTCAATTATTAGGAAATCTCAGAGTGGAAGGCAGCTTTCTTCCACCACTGCCTGTGGATCTAGCCACAGACATAAAAAAGGGACTTCTATAGGAGGCCAGGAGCTATCTAGCCCAACATTTTCTTTCCACATCGTGTCTCAAAGATACAACATCCACAAATGAGGAAAAAGCAAATTCTAATAAAGACAGCTGGGATTGAGGTTCCAAAAACAGCAAAAACAGTCAAGAATGTGAAAGCAGAGGGGAGGATAGTTCAATAGTCACTACTACAGCAGACGGTATTAAAGAACAAGTTCAACAACAAGCAGAGTATGGTCATACCTAGGCCAGTACCCAAGGAAACCTGGAATATACAGTGGGTCTGCAATCTTGCTAGATGTACCAGTTCCTGTCTGTTCTCTGCTTAAGAATTTTATGCCTCAGCTTCCATTCTGACAGCAGCAGCTCCCTAGAGTTCATCCTGTAAAAGGATCACTTGGAAGCAATAGCTGATTTCCTAGAGATCTCTCACTTCCAAGATGCTGCCATCTGAAGCTATATATGCCTTCTTTCTGTCTTTGGATTCAGGACTCAGAGTTGCCAGTGTTCACAAGAGCTTAGTCGATAGGTTCATGAATCCCAACTGGAATTATCCATGATAGTTAAAGATGGTCCTGGCGCTGCCTTTACAACTGATTTGAAAGCTGGTGTTCCTAGGAAAAGGTACACAGGTAGTCCTTGACTTATGACCACTTGTTTAATGACCGAAGTTATGACGGTGCTGAAAAAAGTGACTTACGACCGGTCCTCACACTTACAATCATCACAGCACTCCCCACGGTCATGTACAACTAGCATGTATTTATGACAGTTGTAGCATCCTGGGGTCATGTGATCGCCATTTGCAACCCTCCCAGGGGGCTTCCAACAAGCAAAGTCAATGGGGTAAGTCGGATTTGCTTAACGACCATGTGATTCGATTAACAACCATGGCAAAAAAGGTCATAAAATCAGGCATGACTCACTTAACAACCACATCGCTCAGTGATGGAAGTTCCAGTCCCAATTGTGGTTGTAAGTCAAGGACTACCTGTAAGCCCAATCTTCAGCTGAAGACTCTTCTGAAGAAGGGGACATTCCCAAATGCTCCTAGGAAGCTCACATGTGATACAGGCATGAGTGCAATAGCCTGAGATTCCTATGGTCTTCTAGTAGCCAGTGTTCTGTGGCAAGCGTATTTCCTCATAGATATCAACAGGATCCATGTGGTATTATCTTTCTAATCCTCTGTATCAGTGGCCATCATTACATTCTGAATCAGCAAATTCTTATTCATTCTGGTTAGATGCAAACACTGATGTCAAGAAACTCAGGGAGCCAGTGAAGGACAGGAAGGCCTGGCACGATATGGTTCATGGGGTCATGAAGAGCCGAACACAACTTAACGACTGAACAACAACAACAACAACTGAAGGGCAAAGACCCAAAACCACAGATTAGGGTGAGGTCAAATTAAAGGATTCTAGAAAATATGAAAGTGAACCTACATGTAGTGTTTATTAGAGTAACAAACATATCCTGAACAAAAATACTGCATTATTAAAAATGAGCCCAAATCTGTCAAGGTGGTTCTGGGCGCAAACTTACCCACTAGAATTGTGACATGTTTCTTCTTTTTCTTTAGAAAGTATTGTAAGAATTGCCCCATGCAGGACAATGACAGATCCTTAAATGCATATGTTGCACCATGCCAAAGCTCCAAAATATTCAAGCCATTTTTTAGTCTTGACAAATGAACAACATCTTTGTGTCTGAACCTGATAAATGCTCTATCAATCAGGTCTAGAGAAAGAGGAAAAACTTCATTAGCCAGGGAACATAAACAAGATAATGTACAATGTCCTGAGCTGGATAATAACTCAACCTATGGAAACCACATTTTAAGGTTTTTTATGCATAATGTAAGGGCTCTTTTGCACATCAGCCTTATGTTTCTTGTGACCCATCCTAAAACCAGCTGGAAAACCCCCTCGCTCCCTCCCCCACCTGGTAGCAGCCACTTACCGGCCCGTGGGCCTGGGATTTGTAACTTCCTGCTGGCTTCCCTACTGACTTTGGTTGTGGGAAGCCAGCAAGAAGTTGCCTCACCTAATGACCGTGGGATTTGGTTAACAATGGCAACCCGGACTGCGGGGATTGCCGTCACTAAGCAATTCAGCTGCGCTTTATAACCGCATCGCCTAGTGATGAAAATTCTGGTCCCAATTGCCATCATAAGTTGAGGACTACCTCTAATAATGCTTAAGCTCTCTCATTTTATATCTCTCTGGTTTTAATTTACCGTTCAGCTCTGCCTTTGGAATGAGTTCAGGTGAGATGAAAACCGAACACAGTTCCTTCACCAGCTCCAAGTAAGAAAAGGTGCTCCATGTCCGAAGTCTGGGATGGTCCAGGACTGGGATTTTTTCAGGCATGAAAAGGCCCCCATCCACTGCATACCCAGAGAAGAGAGCATGTTCAAAATCAAAGCTTCCTGCTCCTCCACGGCTACTGATATACTTCATGTTTATCTTTCCAGCTCCTACAACACACGTAACATTTCCAGCAAATTAACTTCAGGCTGGAGGAGAAACCAAAAACATTTTATAACAAACAGGAAACTTTGCCTTGTAATGACAAGAATCTCTAGCAACTTGAGAGGAACCATATTTGGGAATCCTGAATTAAAACCAAACTTACTTGGTACGATCTAGTCTTCTTTACCAAACTGGAAAGACTTGATTGGAACTCAAGGAAAGAATTTCCATTATGTTGAATGAAAATTCCCAGTAGCAATAGCCTTAAGACTACATAGGGTTCCTCTAACTTCCAAACATCAGGAAATAATTTTCACTGGGTACCTTGCAACACTGTAAAGTCTCCCTTTAGTTCCCCTTGACTCTTGGTCTATACACGGATACAACTATGCTGTTTTTTTCTCAGAACAGTGTAGAAGTGGCTTGCCATTGACTTTTTCCATGATGTTTTTTTCAACTTCAACCTAGTCTACACCCCTAGGGTTTCCTGTGGTTTACCATCCAAACAGTAACTAGGTCCAGCCGTACTCAGTTTTTCTTAAGATCAGCCAGGGTTACTTAGGGGCTGCCTCCTGCTGTGACAAAACTACACCACTGGCTCTGTAAAGACAATGAAAAGAATACTGTATTAATTTAGGGTAAGTTAAAGACGCACATGCAGGCTTTTTGTTTCTTCAGAATGCTTCATGGGAAGGAAGGAAGGAAGGAAGGAAGGAAGGAAGGAAGGAAGGAAGG